TCCGCCGTACCGAAGCATACCGCCCGTACCGGGCGGTACGTACCGGTCCGATAGGTTACTGGTACGCAGACCGTCCGGTACCACTAGAGTACTACAATACTATACTATAGCACTGCTACAGGATGAAAAAAATAAAAAAATATTTGGTACACCAGGGCGTACTGCTCGGTATGCCCTGATGTACCGCCCGGTACACCGGTACCGTACCGTACCGAACCCGGGTCGAAATGCTGGTACGGTACAGCGAACCTTGCCGCTCTGTCACGGACAAACTTCTAAACAGGGTGTTTGATGTAATGCTTATGTATGTCCGTGTCTTTTGGCATGTTCATGCCTTGTACAGCATGTAGAGGGGCGGCGGAAGGCTTAATAGTCCCATTTTAGTTGGGTTGGTGGCCTCTTTAGGCTTGTAAATAAAGGTTGTGTCATGTGGACACGTGCGAGAGATTTTCGATCTGTAATGGACCATTTTACCCTTTGTTGTGCCACTGTTCAGAGTTTGTAAAGTCTGTTTGTAATTTGCATTGTCTATGAAGTGTTTTTCGGAGATGTTTGCTTGTGGATCCCGATTGAGGCGTTCTCTCTAACCCGTTCTCTCTTTTGGTGGTCCTAAGGGACAATGGGAGGCTTCGGGGAGGCTGACCTTTGCGGACGGACACGCAAGGGTGCCGCTCGACTTAGGCAAAACCAGCTAAGTCCGTGACAGCTCGGTATACAATTTCGTACCGTACCGAGCAAACGTCGAAACTCCGGTACGGTACGAAATTGTAGACCTTGTTTGAAAATATATACATATAATTATAAAATACATATTTTTCTTATACACCATTCATTTAATAGCTGGGGAAATCACATTTACCTGACATAAACTTTGGGACCAAGTAAAAGAAGAGATGAAAGTACGGCATTCAGGGGATCCATCTAGAACACATCATTATAGAAAGTAAAAAGAAAGAAATATAAAAATGTGACAATCATGATCTAAAATATCAGTCCAATATGGATTCCAATACATCATCAGACTGGTACCAATATACTGACATGTACCGCAGGTATTATTCACAAAAATAATAAAAATATACTGATCAGTATTTGAGCCATCTAATCCTTGTGCAGAGAGGAAAATACACGTGAGCCCATGCGAGTCTGATTGGCAATGGAGAACATTATTCAGTTATGCATTCTGGTGAGATTTGAAAGGGAGAAACATCTCCATCAGAAACTCCAGCAAACTGGAAGTCAGTTCATGCTGCATTGAAGTTGAACCATTACCTACAAGTTTCTCTAACTAATTTTGGGTGAATACCAGTAGTTCTACAATTTTTTTCGTTTGAGGACACATCAGAAAATTTTGTTTGGTGCAGTTTGACAGCTGGCCATAATTTCTCTTTTAAGAGAAACTGCAGGAAGATGCTATGGGGAAGCACTTCTGGAGGAAGATGGTACTAAGTCAAATCCAGTTGAGGAACTGTCAATCATGTAAAAGGTAATAGACGTGATATTTGGTTAATTTTTTATATGTATATTTGTGTCTGTTTGTCACCGAAATAGCACTTCTAGTGTTCTATACTACAACTATCTTATTAGATTATCTATTTCAACCCTATCTGAAACCTCAGGATCCTGTTGTACTGGCTAAAACTGTCCTCTGATCACTAATGAAGTAGGCAAAAGGTAAAACAGAGATAATATCAATTAGTTCAGCTTTCAGTCTCCTAACAATTTGATCTCACTGATGAAAAAGAAATCCAGATGCCATTTGCTCGTACAGAATGATTATTTTTGGATTTGTTTCCACATATTATGAGAAATTAATAAAATAATCACAACAAAAGGGAGAAAAAGCTTCCTGTTGCTCTTAAGGCTTTTAGAGTGCCTTCATGCAGTCTAGTAACAAATGCACTAGCTGAATGTCATTCAGTGCAACTGACAACTTTCTAATAATAAGTAGCAGTTATCAGAAATATGCCTTAAATAGGTCTATTCTAGCAGTCTTCACTTAAATGGCTTAAAATTAACACATCCAAAAGTCACGAGAAGTGTCCTAGAAAACACATGAAACTGCAGACAAGCAAATTACGAAGAAGCTTAAATCAGGTAAAGTTCAAGATCTTACAAGACCCAGATCCAGTTGTCCACCATCCCAGGCTTCAAGAGACTGTCTTGTAGGAAAGCTGTAGTTCTTGTACTGTATATCAACATCAACATCCTATATGACAAAAGAATGTGACTTTTTTATAGGCCATTGAGTAGGAAACAGTAAGATGAAACTAACCGTATCTCAAGTATTGCACCACATCAAAGTCAGCAATTTGCATCAGAAAGCACCCAGAGAACTCGTCACAATCACAATAAATTGTATGCAAATCCTTTTGTTAATTTTCAAGGGGTCTTTACTTAGTAATTATCATCATGAAAATCAACATAACAAACCTATTGTTACATCTATCAAATATAAGGATAATTGACACACATAAGTACCTAGAATGACAATCAAGACAACAAGAATAAAACCAATCAAAGCATGTTATCCATCTCTAAGATTGGTAAGTTAACCTATGCTGGGAGGTGATTGGCTGAAAATGATCAGATCATCCTTGAAGATAATTTTAGGTGACTCTGGCCTCAAAGATATTCACTGATGGAATAACAAAATCACCATTGAACAGGTAGCAAGTTCTCAATAATTTTCTCAACCAAAAAGGTTGTTTCTTCAAGGTAAATGATAGCACACAGACAAAATAGATGGAGGGCCAAGGTGTACCAACTTAGGCTAAGGCTTTATATTTGATAATTGAGATCCAAGCCATGATGACTATCTTCTGATAATAGATACGATGATATGATTAGGTATACTATTTTATGTTTTAATTAAATATTTAACTTTCACATTTCTTAAGTTATTGTTAATTGTTATCTTTATATTCTTTAAGTACTATGTTATCAGGAACAATCTCTCATTATTAAATATTAATATTAAATAATATAATTAATTACTTGTCATTTATCATGACATGGAACTTTATGTTGCATGTAATGAAAAGGAGAGTATAAACACGCAATTTTAGGAGAACTTAAATTTGCTTTTTCAAAGGTATAAAGTAATTCAACATGAAAATTAAGAGAGGGCATCTACCTCAAACATTTCTGTCAAAGGATCACTTTTTGCCGATGGTTGCCTTCTTCTCCTCCTCGAGTTCCCTTGATAATTATCCAACTCATGCTTAATCTTGTATCGAGTCTTTTCCACTATATCCTCTAGAAACAGTTCTGCCACAGGAAAAGTAAAACCCTCCAAAAACAAAAAAGCAATGTAAGAAAATTATTTCCCAATTTGTAAAAAAATGGACACAAGCATAGTAACTAAAGTGTGCATAAAAGTTAAGAATACCGGTATGTGGATGACTGGTGCATTTCCAAAGTATCTGGAGAAGAGATCAGCATTCAAAGTAGCACTCATTAATATTAGCCGAAGGTCAGGTCGCCGTGGCAGAAGATCACGCAAAATTATAATGAGGAAATCCTCATTAATGCCCCTTTCATGAATTTCATCAACAAGTAGATGACTAACACCTGCAAGGTCTGACTCCTGAACCTGTCATATTAATGCCAGTTTGACCAGTAAAGGCAAAAGTTTCAGAGTCAGTTATCTTTAAATGCGACAATAAACTTATTATTATATAAGAATAATTTGTATTAACAGCTCTTTAAGAGTTAAGACAAAGTTGAACTTGAATGTAAAAGTATGATTCGAAATACAAGTGAAATGTGATAGCTGAACTATTACCAAACTATTCGAGGCATAAGAGAGATCAAATATGTTCAAGAGAAATTTTCTCAATACAGAATACTAAAATTAGAGGCACTTGGATTTATGCCTTGTGATCTGTGGTTGCATGGGTACATGTACGGCAGATGCATGGAAGTCAAACAGCGTAATAACACTCCTTTTAGTTACATATACCACATCCAACAGATGGCACAAAGTTGCATAGACAGCACCTATATTTTCCTTTGGGCCACCGTAGTTAACATTTAAGCTACTCGCAGACAAAAAAAGGAAATAAGATTCCTATAGTGAAACAAAGAATTACAGCATTTGGTTGATGATTATACAAATTACTCGATAGCACTAATAGTTCGATTCATCGTACATAATGGTATAAGTATATGACCATCAATCATCATCATAGCTTGTAAAACCATATAGTAACTACAACCCATAAAAAAACAAAGCAAGGCTTGCAATACAGTCATGTAGAATTCAGTATGGCTTTTCTTAGCACTCGGCATGCAATTGGATACCAACCCTCGGTACATTGGTGTGGATCATTACCGTACCAATCCGAGCCCTGACTGGTAATTATGAACCTTGGAATGGAGAATTAATGCAATAATACGCCACCGCTATATAGTACTTATTAGGGAACTCAATTTCGTCTGGACTAATTCTTACCAGCCAATATTTACCAATTAAAGTACACAATCCAGGCACTGCCTGTTTGTCCCCACTGGTCCTCCTGGTATGGCTCCTCCTCCTTTCCCCCTTCACTTCCTCTTCTTCTCACCCCTCTTGTTATCGCAACACATATCAATGTACTGTGTATTGGTAGGCTGGCATGGATCCGATCTCTAGCAATCCAACCATAGCCCAGCATGGGTCTGGTACCCAAAACTGCTATCCTTGGCACTTATTTTTCACTCTCACTTCCGTCTCTTTTAGTTTTTTTTCTCCTCCAGTCTATTTCTCCTCTGACAACTTCCTTTTCTTTTCTCTTTTGTCTTCTCTTCTACATCTTCCCAACACAGATCCCCTTAACAAGAACCATGTCTTCAGTGTTAGTGACAACATAATGGCAAATTATTTTTGCTCAATCTCAATACGGAAATTCTTTTTCTCAAGCACAAGCCTCCTTTCCAGTAGCACAAGTTTTTTTGATCAAGTTCTATGAGTAGAAGCACACAATGGTTGTTTACCGCACAACATAAGTACTACATCTAACTATCTAAGTATCACACAAATCAATTATTATCATTGTAGATCAGCAATTCAAATGGCAAAAATATCTATTTTCTATTTGTAGTGTAACTTAGCCTGCTAAGCTCAAAAAGTCTTCCATCCAAAACTGATTGTAAATCATTGTGTGTAGAGACAAGGTCTTTCAGGTGCATCAATTTCATAGCGGTTGATTGATAGGATAACACCCTAACAACCATTTCTCCAATCAAAGGGGCAGAAAAGGCCTCCCAAGCTATCAATCAGAAATTTAAACTAATAAGAGAACTTTGTTCTATAGAGAAACGGACACAATATCTAACCATAATTTCTTGGCCTTACAAACTATCATGTATACATAGGTGTTTATGGGTAAAGAACTTGTATTGACACACCATATAGATCCTACCAAAAGAGATCCAAGACCTCTCACAATATGAATGCCAATAGTAAAATAACTTGGCTAACCTGTATTAGATCCATGTTGGGGTTCTTATATAGAAAATAAACTTTATTAAACATTGAAATGCTTTCTAAGAAAGCATTCAAGTTTAAGAACAAAATCAATCTCAAAATGACAGGAAAAAAAATTATCATATATTTTACTACAAAGAGCCCGTGAGAGGGCCTGGTCCGCATATTCTCTGCAACGAGTGGTTTGGAGGTTGTTTCCATCCCACTCCCACTGCAAAATTGAATTGAGATCTTTTTCCTTCTACAGCAGGAACCATGGTGCTCCTTGTCTACTCACTTGTAGTAAGTGAACACCTTCTTGAGATATACACTGCTTTCAGTTGTATCTCTTTTAGGGCAATGGCTTCAATGTGTTAATGGTACGTAACAACACTAAGCACAGGCATGTGCTGCACATACTAGTATTGGCAGAACACTTGTTGTACTGAGGTGATATTCTTGCTCAGGACTATTGATATGGGGTATATTTTTACACCAAACATAAGCAACATGTGGCCCCAAATTACTCAAACCCCATTATTACCGACTAGCATGATCACTGTGTCAGCATCAAATCTCGACAGGGAACATTTCCCTCATAAACCGGATGATAATTCTTCACTAAATATATGCAGTTAGGGCCAAAGGGGGCCTCTTCTCTAGGTACAGGAGGAGTATTATATCTGACTATGTAAAATACTTGTTTTTCCCCACCTCGGACTGATCCTGACTTGGAGGGGCCTCACTGAACATGCCCCAGGCACAAGTTCTAAAGGATCTGGACACCTCGGAACCGACCACATCAAGAAGAGTCACCTCGGCTAAATTCCTCTTGGGCTAGCTTCTCTCAAGCTCAGTGAACTGCAACAATACGTTTTGCTGAGGAAGTGGCTAGACCGGATCAGAGTCAGTGTATCAGATTGATGATCAAGCTTGACCTCAACAACAATGAAATCGTACTTACTGTAGTAGCGACATGTGTCACACATTTTAATGAAACACACTTCTCTTTTTATGGAGGTGCTACTCTATCTTGTCTTTTCTCTCTCCTTTGTAGAGAAAAAGATGACTCAGAATTGCATGAGTCCATTATTATTGTCATATGTTTTGATGAGAAGCCTAGGAAGAGTTAATTTTGGTTAGATAAACATCACAAGTGATGGGAATGGGATAGACATGATGCTCTTGATGATTGCTGAATGAATCCAGATGGGAGATCTTGAAGCCAAAGCCATTTTCTTGTATGGAAAAAAAGATCAGAAGCTTAATAAAATGAAACAAATTCAGATTTTGATAGAAATAGAAAATGTAATTTCATCCATCAGGATATCATTAAATAGATAGGGAGTACCAGCCTTCGGAGTAAGACTCCTGTTGTGCAAAACAGTAAACGTGTTTGCTCAGAACGCTTTGCTTCTAAACGGATCTGGTAACCAACAGTTTCTCCAAGACTTTCACCCCTTTCAGAAGCAATGCGTGCTGCAACAGATATAGCTGATATCCGACGTGGCTGAGTACATATTATACTACAATCTGCTCCTCGTAGATGTTCAATCTCCTGCTCTAATATGAATTGAGGTAGCTGTGTAGTCTTGCCACAACCTGTCTCTCCAGAAACAACAAGCACCTATATGTTCAAACAAATTGGTAAGGCTATCTGGCCAAATACCATGCAGTTAAAGAAACACCGTGGAAAAGAAACCTTGTTCTGAGAATGCATAAATCAGGTAATACAAAGCAACTTGTTAAAAGAATGCCAATAAGTTCATTCTCTGATAGTTATAATCTAGGGATCTCACAAAGGTTTCAACGGATTAAAGAGAAGAGGGTGTAAACTATGAATTGAACTGTTGGTAAATGATGGGCACAAGACAGAGGTCCACAAGCATCTCATGTCAACCCATGGTAGCACAACGCTTTCATACTTGGTGTATATCAATCAGTTAGAACTTACAATAATGCAAAATTTCACCTTGCTATCAGGATTTAACTATTTTCTAAAATGATGAAATTGGTAATGTCAACATTAATATGAAATCAAAATGGAGGATGTAACTTACAGTCAAAGGAAAATAATTGTGATGTAAGGGACATGATGAAAACAAGATTTCCCATAACATGTTAAATCCATCATACATGTTACTGCTATAATTTTTTCCTACTCATATTGCCAACCATTTTTCACAAATAACTGATAGAGAAAATGAGAAATACACATCTTCAGTTCCATCTGGTGCGACTTCAAAAATAAATCATCTTTACATCGTCAAGAATGAATTCCAGAAACCTATACCTGACAATGATCCTAATCATCTAAAAAATTTTGCCATGATCCCAGTCCTAAATAAGTTTGTTGTTTATGATACTGCCAATACCTTGGACAGTCTAGTAACATAAAAATTAAAACCCAAATTTTGGAAATGATAAAAGAGCCAAAAAAACTCACAACTTCTATGCAAGCCCAATATTGTAGCACAGCAAAAAGACACGGCATGAACTCAGCCATAGTGATTACACAAGACATGTGATGATATACTCCAGTGACAATGGCCAGGAAGAGAAATTTTACCTGATTGTCTGCCACAGCTTTCAAAAACTCATCCTTGAGTTTGTAGGCTGGTAATTTTTCCCTGAAAGCAAGCATTGCTTTAGTGCTCGGGGATGCCTACAAGGAGCGCATACAAATAAGATATAATGACAGGTAGAAGCAACAATCTAACGACTACTTTCATCTCACATGAAGCAGTGTCATCTAGAGAATAAAAAAGAAAAACCAGCCAAGAACCTTCTTGGAGTTCTGCAGCTCCCTAAGTTCAAAACTAAACTTCTCCTTCATAGTATCAAAAGATGAAGAGGATTCAGATCTAGAGATGGGCACGCTAGATAAAGGTTGCTTCTCCGCCTGAGTGAATGTACTGGTGGAACTATTTTGGGTTGATATATCTTTTGATCTAGCCAAAAGACTTACGACTCTTCTTTCAGTTTCTGTGGACATTTTAATCTGCATATACATGACAAAATCTTCAATATTTCAAGTTGTAAGAGAATTTGCAAGTCCCAATTAATAGTTATGAAGTACCTCTTTTTGTGTTGATCCATGTCTTTCATCAAGATCAGCACGATAATCTGGTAAAGGAACCTTGCTAAATACAAGTGCTTTACCTTTGTTGTATGCATGGCTTCCTTCCCAAACAAGCAGACAAGAAAAATGTAACATCATCAGATATGGAAAAAAGCTGCACATTTTTAATGTCAAAACATGCACCATATATTTTTTTCTGATCCAAATATCAGGACATTAAAGCTTGCTATTATTGTCGTTGTTGTCACCGTATATAGCATAAAGCTCATGATCAAATATGTCTATATAACTACAAGTCCAATCAGCAAACAGCAAATAAATAATAGGCTGGACAGAGATGAAGTGAAATGATCTATTCAGCTGCATATCTGGTGAATGTCTCACTTGATGCCTAAGTGGATTCATCATATGGATGGTTGTGTAAGTGAAATGCAGCCAGTATAATGTGGCAGCAGCCTTATTCTTTTTCATTTTGTGGCACATGATAACAGCTTTACCACTGTTATTCTGTACATGTCAATGTCATCACAATGTTCCAATAATAATATTCTATATCTTAGGCTTACAATCATTCATTATTAACAAATAGAAGAAAGGATTATTTGTGTTAATTATTGCTTAATAAAGAGAACCAAGGCATGCATATAGCACCAGGAAAGTAGGAATCTTACAAGTATAAGCCTTGATTCTGAGCCATATTTGCCAGAGTATTCTGACCATCACGCCCAAAGTTACGTTTAACTATCAGCTCCTGCTGGCTACCTTGTTTTAATTGTTGTATCCTACTCCACCATTCATTTTCATCCAGCTTTTCCACCTTGATAACATCAGCACATGAAACAATATATCCATTTGTCAATCAACATACCAGTCCAAACCATAATATTGCGGCAGAATTTTCAAATGCTTGACAAGAATAATGTTCCCCAAAGAAGAACCATTTGTGGAGCCAGGAATAAGAGCACAGGGACTTTTGTTTCCCCCAAGAGTTGGTCTCATAGAACATTAGTTTGGCACTAATAAATGTAAATCAGATACCAGTGCTAAAAAGAATGCTTTCATTAGATGAGAGCTCCAATTCCAATATCCTATACTACCGACAGTAATTGATCTCCAAAATCAAACATATTCTAGACTTTCGGAAACTAAAAGCAAATGCATGTTTTAAGTATAAACGAATATCATGTCCTCTCAAATTTCCAAGTAAGGATCTTCATCCAGGTTTCTCAATGTAGATTTTTGGGTGGAATCTGCAGCTTATAAGATGGACAAATACGAAGGTTTTCATTCCTTCTCTTTACACCTATTGAAAGCAAATTCTCGTCCATGAAAACTTACTTCCACCCCCAAGAAGGATGTATTGATGCTTTTAAATCAACTTTCTTGGTAGCTACGGTAGGAGAGATCTTGTTTCTGGTAGCTAAGGTAAGAGAGATCTTGTTTTTGAGTAAATACTTATTGATAATTTTGCAGTCTTAAGTTTCTTTAACAGTCAAGAAGTAGAAACCTTTGCTTCCTAACATCGTTCAAATCAATGCATCTCCTTTGTCACCCATCTTTGATCATGAGGTCCAACATGCTGAGACAGCTGCAACTCGAAATCAATAGCTAATCTTTCGATCATATCTATTCCTAAATCCTGAAACATCAGATTATTCCACAAAAAGGTAGACAGTGAACAGATGCTACATGCTCCGTCCCAAGAGGTCATTCTACAGGTTAGCTCTTACAGAGGAAATTTTTCCCAGGAAATTTTATAAGAGTAATTTTTTCTTAATTTGCATTAGTTCAAACAAAATAGCATATTTAGATCATTAATTTTTAACAAAAGAAATGAACTGTAACATGCGAAAAAAATTGCTTCGGAGTGGGTAAAAAGTAAAAACATACAAAAGTCAAAGAAGACAAAAAAGGTTATAATCAACATCTATTAACCAAGTCCATGCTATATAGATGTGAATACCATAATTTAATTAACCATCATGTTCATCAGTAAGAGGCCGATGTACTAAAAAAACAGCAGCCCACTTCAGAGGCATAACGACAAGTGAAGTATATGGCCCTACAGAATATACTGTTTGATAGTCCAGCTTATTGAACAAGAGAAAGAAATATACTACATTCATTTTCTTTTTAACCAGTCAAGAATGCAAGACAATTTCAACATGGTTAGAACCAGTGGATGCAGAATGTCTTCTGAGGACCAGAAAGAGAATGAGATAGAACAAAATAAATAAAAACATGCTTGCTTGATGTTTCTCAAAACATTAATTCCATGGAAACTATTTGACATTTGAGTAGCTTTCTTTTATATTTATTATTTAATTATCTAGAAGATAATCAACTATTCTATATTCCTCCCGCATAATATCTCCATTTCCACCATAGGTCCAATACATGGCAATACAATCCATGAACAAAGTATCAGAAGGAGAAAAGGAGCGAGATCTTTGGTAAAGTGCAACTAGACTTGTTGTCACTCATATACAACAAGCTCAACCAAACGTAGTCCTTTATTTAAATTTCTCACATCATCACGATGAAGAAAGGGGCCACAAAAAACAACCATAGGTATCACAAGTCCATTAAAACCATGAATCGCCTGCTAAACCAGCACGTTGTTGGAGACATATGGCAAAACATGTAGGGGATATATCAACGAATTCTCTGACAATAACGGAAAAGAAAACCAATTAACTGTTTTCATCCAAACATCCGATCAAGAATCAGCAAATCGGATCAAGTATTAGTGTTCTCCTAATATGGAAATGATCTTATGATTCGTAAAATGTATTCATGAACTGAACAGCCGAATTTTGGTAAAGATCACATCAAAAGCAAGGAAACAAAGGAAAATTAAATGACAGAAAAGGAGAACAGTACAAAATGAGATGAGGCAAGATAGGAAGAGGGAATCACCTCGCCGGCCATCTGGCGAAGACGCTCGGCCCTCCATTGGGGATCCCACCACCTCTGCTCCCCGCGACCGCCGCCCCTTCCCCCGCCTCTTCCGCCGCCGCCGCCGCCGCCGCCGTCGCCCCTTCCCCCACCTCTACCGCCGCCCCGGCCCCCCCTGCGGCCGCCTTGGTAGTTGGGGCGGTAGGACATGGGACGAAGAGTTCCCACGGAGAGACGGAGCTGTAGAGACTTGGAGAACGCCAAGAAGGAGTGGTGGCGACCGCCTGTAGCGCAGCACAAAGTCATCAAGGCAACTTTAAAGCAACGAAACAATGATAAAGCCAGCGTCTTTGGGCCGCATCGGTTCCTGGGCTTCGGCTTATCGTTGTTCACATACGATTTCCCTACCCAGATGCCGGCCCAACTTGAGCCAAATCTCAAGTAAACCCTAAAAGCCACCCATATCACCTAACAGTTGTTTCCTTTGTACATGAACTACGACCACGTGTAAACTTGCGGGAGGGACCCCACACTACCTGCCAATGGTGTATGCGTTTTGTTTGAATTCTGATTCCGTTAGTGCAGCTGATATCTTATCAAATGAGCAGATCCGAGGCGGCCAATTCCCATTGACCCACGAGAGGTTCGTCGTCTCGAGAACCGCCCTGTCGCCGACGCGTACAAATACCGGTAGAGAGGCATCTTCTTCCTCCGCCCCCAATCCTCTGGAAGATTCATTATATACCTAACACCAGAACAGGAGGCTCTTCGATTCATATGCTTAAGAAGAAGAATAGAGAGATTCTAAGTAGTAAAAAATCATGATATGTTAACAAACAAATACACCGTGGTTGCTGAGTAGCACGGTTAGGTTCGCGGGTCGATGTTGGAAGCTTTCTATGTAGTGAGCTGGATGATGTTGTGGTCGTGTCCTAAAAAAGGAGCATCAGTTGGCGCTGGTCGGGATCCGGACTGATTGACTGCTCTCCTTTGCGCGGGGGATGGCACGCCCTAGGACGAGACGTTCGTAGTGCACGGGTGGTCGTTCGCCTGCAAAAAATGGCCCTCGTCGGGTGATTTTCGGCTTTGGCCCCTCCGACGAGCAAGTTAGTAATGGGATCGATCGTACTCTTGTTGCCTCTCCTCTAGGCCAGAGGCCGGCCTGGGGCTTTATAGTATTGCCCGAGGGTCGATAGCATGTCGATTCGGCGTGGCCACTGACCCTCGAGGGATGGGACGGCACCTCTGACCGGCCGCCACCTCGGGGTGTGAGAAGCCACGTCAGACAGCACCGCCCCGAGCTCTCGGGACGGGACAGATGGAACAGCTTCTCGGTATGATTCAGACTTGCCGTGTGGCATCAGCAGTGACATGCTCGAGGTTCCAAAATATACCGTATCACTTCTCCCCCCCTCCAAGGCGTGTCGTGGGGTTCTTAAAGGGCCAGGAGGCATGCCTGGATTGGAGTGATGTTGATCGCTTACGAGGGGAAACTAAATTGACTCGTCATAGGGCGTTTTAGAGGGGCGGCGCCCCGTGCCTTGGGCAGGATTGACTCTGCTGATCGGGCAACCGGGACCTTACGAGGCGAGATGGATGTGTCGTAGGTCAGATAACCGGTTTGGCGCGGCTCGGAGTTATGGCCACCGTGTTTGCAAGTCGGCGAGCAAGCTGGAGCGGCTCGGTTAGAGACTTGACGAGTTGCGAGTCACGGATCGACATGGAGCAACTCGGACAGTGGACTAGGCTGGGCGTTGGATTAGCCGAGATGCGACTCGGGTGTTAGACAGGGCGCTAGGTGTGGCTCAGGCGTTGGATCGGTCGAGATGCGACTCGGGCATTAGACTGGCCGCGAGGCGTGGCTCGGGCGTTGGATCGGCCGAGATGCGTGGCTTCGGCGTCGGACTAGCCAAGATGCGACTCGAGTGTTAGACAGGGCGCAAGGCATGGCTCGGTCATTAGATCAGCTAAGATGTGACTCGGGCATTAGACTGGCTGCGAGGCATGGCTCGGACGTTGGATTGGTCGAGATGCATGGCTCGGCGT